GGCCTTGAACACTGCCAGGGAGGGGGCAGCCACAGCTTCTCTGGGCAACCTGGGCCAGTGTTTCACCACCCTCGTGGTGAAGAATTTCTTCCCAATATCTAATCTAAATCTGCCCTCTTTTAGTTTAGAGCCGTTCCCCCTTGTCCTATCAGTACACACCGTTGTGAAAAGTCCCTCTCCATCCTTCCTGTAGGGCCCTTGAGGTACTGGAAGGCTGCTCTGAGGTCACCCTGGAGCCTTCTCTTCTGCAGGCTGAACAGCCCCAACTCCCTTAATCTGTCCTTGTCGGAGAGGTACTCCAGCCCTTTGATCACCTTCATGGCCCTCCTCTGGACCTGCTCCAACGCATCCATGTCCTTCTTATGTTGGGAGCTCCAGAACTGGACGATTCAACTTAATGATGTCGGATTGGTTCCCCCTAGTCCTATCACTACAGACCCTTGTGCTGTTGGGGATTGATGTGTCCACTTACACCGTGGATGCTTGTCCTACTTAGTGCTGGTCATAAACGGAGCTTTTCAGCAAGTTCTTATTGCTGTAGTAACTGAGACTGCTGTAATCTTCCCAACGTCTCTACAGGGTAGGGAGGGTAACTGAGATGTCAAATGGCCAAGCAGATTGCACGTGGTAGTGGAGAAAGTCTGTGTTGAAGCAGGGAAGTGAAACTTCATTGCAAGACTACAGCCGCATCGCCTTCCTCTGCTGCTGGAGCAACTTTTCCCCCACTGGAAAAAGAAAAACAAACCAACAAAAACCAATGAACTTATAATAAAAAGCCTCAACTCATGATCCGGCAAACAAACCAACAAAAGAAGAAACGACCTCATCCCTGTCTGCATGAGCCAGAAGCCCTGACCACAGCTTGCCGTGGGCAGCGGAGGCATCTTGGCGTCGGGAAGCTCTCGGGCAGATTTGAGGAGAGCTTTCTCGCAGGAGAGAGCTCACAGTGAGCTGGGAGCGCGAGCATTCGTGCGGTGCGTCAAGTGCAAGCTGTGTGCCACGATAATGGCTGCGTTATTGGGCACACATTTTGCTTTGCGTTTGAAGACTGGAGTGTAGTGTCTGGGAAATGCAGAGGAGCTCAGTGGAGGAACACAGGGAGAGCCAGTCCAGTACCGTAAGTGCAGAGCTGCAGCAGCTCCAAACCAAGCAAGTGATGGGTAGGAAATACCCTGCCTAGAAGGCGAGTCACTGCAACAAGAAGGAGGGTAATTTGGTGAGATACGGTTGCCCCT